GGTCGGGAGGCCAAGGGTTAGATGGACATCCTTTTCTGTGATTCTAACCCGCTCATTTAAAAGATTAAGTGAACAGCTGTCTGGGTCAAAGTTTTGAACAAGCCATTTTGAAAGCTTTACCGGTAGAATTGACGCTTGAAGACCAAAAAGGGAATGAAAACCCAACTCTTCAACAGCTTTTTTTTGCTCACCATTTAACCTCTGCAAGAGGTTAAAAAGGCCGTTCGGAGACATACGAGTCTTATAATCTTTGTCATCAACTATACTTTCTAAAATAGTCGCAACATCTCGTTTTGGCCTATTAAAGATTGCATTGGGGACAAGGGCAGTGGGTGACTGTTCTAAACATAAAAAGACGTGGACTTTTCCTAAGAACTATGGAAGTCGATGGAGCTGCAGGTGTGCAAGGTTCAGCAGTGTGCTCTTCCACAGCAAACTCAGCTTGTTTCCTTAAAAAAACAAGAACACAAAAAACATAAGTTTAAAATTTTAGGTTAATAAATTTAAAGTGATGTGTGTTTGAGAAAGATAAGAACCAACCTTTTTTTTCCATGATTTTTTTTCCACCTTCAACTTCCATGCTTTCAGATGCTATTAAATTACCTAAAGAATAAGGTCACTACATGAAAAGTCCAGAATACAAACTCACTCAAATTTCCTCTAAGCCTAACAGCACAAAAGCACAATATTAAAGTACTTGAGCAGTGAACATCCTAACATATACAAAAATTCAACCAAACCAGAGCTCAAATGAACCAAAACATGGCTCAAATTGAAGAGAAATGTATTAGAAGCAAAACTAAACAAAACCAGCCAGTCAAAAAAAAAAAAGAGATATTAAGAAGCATGAAAATCATGCAAAAGATTTACAGCAGAGGAGCAAGAGATTGTCCTTGAGCTTGATCCCATCATGCAAAACATCAGAAGGATAATGCAATCAGGGTAACTTCTACTTCCCTAACTGTGCCTTTCAACTAAGTCTTGAATATGATCTTTCTACGTATGATGCTATTTTGTTGCTAAAAATGGAAAGTGAGACGATTATCCCGTACTAACCTGTTTTGCTTTTGTTTCTTTGTTTGTTTGTTGGGATTATAGGTTGAACGACGGTGATCCTTTATCTGCTGATGACCAGACATACATTGTTAACAATGTTGTTGAATACCACCCAGATAAAGATGCAAAAAATGGGTCTGGAGTTTATCCCCTTTTTAATTTTAAAACTGTGCCAAACAACAATTTTAGTAACTGGAGTAGGAAAACACCAATCACCAACATACCTAATCCAGTTGTTTGAATTAAAATCCTACTGTAACATCCAAAGTATAACTAAAGAAATAATAACAAGGAAAAATGGGGGGAAGGGGCTGGACCGAAGTCCAGACCCCATAGGGTCATACCCTGCTCTGTTTTTCTTTGCTGCTGCCCTGGTCGTGTTCTCCCCCTTCCTTCGCTGCTCGCTGCCGCGTTTTATAGGGGCTGGAAATCAGAGTTTCGTCTTGGATTAGGACTCCAAATTTGAGTTAGGAGGGGAGAAAAAAGTAATATTCAAAGATGATATAGAAGCAGCAGCAGGGGAGAAAAAAATACCTTTATTAGTGGCGCCACTAAACCTGGAGAGAAAATCCAAAACCAAAGAGAAGATGCTGCGATAGCTTGGGGAGATAGCTGCGATAGCTTCGGCGATGGAGATTGGGGCTTGGGGAGATAGCTGCGATAGCTTGGGCGATGGAGATTGGGGAGTGATTAGGGTTTATTTGGGTCGAAGGAGAAAGATGAAGCTGGGAAAGAAGAGAAATTGATGGCGATTGGGAGCGAAGGAAATGTACGAAGAAGAAAGAAGACTGGGCGAAGCGACAAAGAAGATGGCGGAAAAAAAGAAGACTGGGCCAAGAAGAAAGAAGTCTGGGCCAAGGAGAGCGGAAAAAAAAGACTAAGAAGCGCGCGTGTCATCTGATGGGAACCGTCATCTTACCGAAACTCGTCATCTAACCGGAGTCAATCCCTATACATATATATATATATATATATATATATATATATATATATATATATATATATATATATATATATATATATATATATATATATATATATATATATATATATATATATATATATATATATATATATATATAGGATAGAGATGGGTTTAGAGAGAGGATTCTTTCAAGGCGATCTTGGCCGGCGGCTTTTATGGTGGCAGAACCCTTTCTCCGCTGGGCTCTTTAACCGGAGATCTAGATTACCCTCACAGAGGTATTCATCTCCTAATTCCTGGAGGGGGCAGACGCAATCGAAGAACCCTTTCTTCACTGGGCTCAAGTTACCTGAGTATGACCGGAGATTTAGATTTCGTTTGCATAAGTATTCATCTTCTAGCTCTTGGAGGGGGTTGAAACAATCGAATTATAACCGGGGCTGGTCAGATTGTAGAGCTAGTAACATTCGTCCTAATTGGCAGTCACATCGAGAAGGTGTTTCTTTGCGTCCGTCTCTAACGCGAGTAGAAAGTCGGAACACCAGCTCCAACTTTAGACTTCAAGCCAAGGTATTCAATCTCTTCCAATCTGGCTACAATCTCAACTACTGCATCACTGAGACAGGAAGAAGAACTTTTCAGATTTGGTTGAATTTTGAGGCTTTTAACTGGATTCTGGAATCCCTCTCTAGGCTCTTACGAAATAGTAGTTGGGTTCTTTCAAGGTTTGAGACAAATCGTAAGCTTTCACTTTCTTTTGGCTCCAACAAATGGGGGGACTATATCAGGATTATTGAGCACAGATTTGAAGGTATTTGCTCTATTTTCTTCCCTATTGAAAGGAGGGATGGAATTTCTCATTTGTTCGAATGCCTATCCTCTTTCTTGTCTAAGATAAAGGGTAAGAATAAGGTGGATGTCCCCATCTTGGCAGCAAAAAATGGGAAAACTTTGAATTCCCCATTTCCAGTAGGGGTTTCGGGGTTGTCTGAGTCGGTAGCATGTTCTTCCATTCATTCAGAACATGATGTAAATGCTATGGTTCTTTATCCTAGGCCTTATGTATCTTGGAATTCACATCCAACAACTAGCTCTATTAACACCCCAGTGACTAAGTTTTCCTTTCCTGGTGGCTTTAGTTCTTTTATTTGGTTTCATTTGTTTCTGCATTTTTGTTCCCTTAATTTCTTGACGCCTAAGGCCAGTTTACATGTTGAGAATAATGCCTTGGGTGTATCTCCTATTGCAAGAGAGGACCCTTCGGATTCTATTCCATTAGATAACACACCTAGCCCCTGTTCACAGATGCAACCTTCTTTGGAATCAGGATCCTTAAACACTCTAGCTGATGTACACAGTTTTGAACCTTTACAGGTTGTTTTTCCAGAAGAGGAGGATCACAGACAAACAGACTCTAGAGCATGCCAATCAGATTCAGAGCTTTTTAGTAAGGAGGACAGCCTGGACTTTCAATTGTTCTTTAGAGACAGTGCAAAGTTCGACCCGGACCCGGAACCATGGAGAGAATGGTACCCGGATGATGGTATCGAGCCTGATGACCACCTACAGCGGTGGGGAGGTCCAAAGGGACTTACTACTGCACTCATTCGTAATAATGATCAGGGGCGGATCATTTTCGAGAGGGGATGTGCTAGAGGCTCTAGCCCCCCAGCTCCTAGAAGGAGTCTTAGGCTTGCAAGGCGACGTCGTCTTCCTTCTCCAAGTCGATCAGAGATTTCTTTGGAATCGGAAGACCAATGGAGGTTTTGAGCTTCTGATTATTGTGTTAAGGGGAGCTATCTTGCTTTTATCTCTTTGTTGGCATCTTCATTGGTGGTAGTCCTATTGTTTAATCTATCTTTGAGGAGGTATACGTGCTAGGGACAGCAGAACATGGTATTGCACACTCCGTATTACTCATTCAAAAATCTTTTCAATGTTGGAAGTTGCAACTTGTTTGTAAAGTATTTGGACCTTCTATCCAAGCAAACCAAGGTGTCCTATTGTGCTCACTTTGAACCTGGAATGGTTGTGGCATCTCTCTGTTTTCTTGCTCTTGGATTCTTTTTCTTGGCTTTTTGTTTTAGCTTCTTTATGTGTATCTCGTATTGGATTGGCTATTCTTGCTTTGGCTTTACTGTTGGGGACCGAGCCACCCCTCTTTCCTTTTATTTTTATTTTAATAAAATTTTCTTCTTAAAATATATATATATATATATATATATATATATATATATATATATATATATATATATATATATATATATATATATGTATATATATATATGTATATATATATATATATATATATGACAGTTGTAGTTTTTCGGGTAGTAAACCTTCCCAACAAAGGGTTAGTTTTCTCTTTGAGTGTCGTATCTCTCGAGGAGTAGACGAAGGGAATTAGTTTAATTACTCTAATCAGGCGAAGATTAGGATTGGTTTATGAAAGCCTTCTCGAAACGAATAAAAAGGGAGCAAAGTAAAAATAATAAATAAATTTCACATAGTATAAGTATAGATCTGGACCTAGGGTCTGGACATCATTTGGATCTATTTTATCATATTAAATTAACAATTGGAATAATAATATTTCTATTACTACTCATCCATTTCTAGATTTGTACTTAATCCGTTGCACTTGAATATCATAGCAATTTGGCATACAATATTTTCTCAATAAATAGCTAATTAAATCTTTCGATAATAATTAACTAAATAAGGCAAGAACAATAGATTAACCATTCCAACATTAATTTAACATCAAAAATAAACAACCAAACTAGTCCGGACCCAAAGTTCCGGACCCTAACTCTTACTATGCAAACAGAAATTACAAAAGCATTTTATTAAATAAAGAAAACTTACAACCTTCGTAAAAGCGGAACAGAACAGATCTGGAGTCAAAACCTCCGAAAATACTTCAAACTAACTATTAAAACTAATATACAAGCTAATATGGAGACGGGATGTGTAAATCCTGAAGTTGGGATGGAATGGGATGATAAAAATGAGAGAGATCGCACTGTATTTATAGGAACGGAGCCAAGGCGTCCAAGTCAAAGTGTCCAAGTCCAAGCGTCCAGATCTGGACGCCTGAGCTGTCCCGGCCAACCAGATTTTGCCACGTGTCATTCTTGGGCTGCAATTAAGCCAAAGTGTCCAACTCCCAAGCGTCCAAGTCGGACGCCTTAGGCCCTTCCTTTGTTGGGCTTCGCGGCTGGTTCGTGATTTCGGCCCAATTTCGCTCCGTTTTGGCCCCGAACATTGTTTTTGACCTCCCGGAAGCTCGTTCAAGCCCGAATCTTGATCCTTTGATGATTTATTCCCTTTTTCTCAAGTATTTCAACATAAAATGGATGATTTATGATAATTTTATGTGGAATCCCTTTTTATGACTCTTAGAACGCAAATGAGAGTTTTATCCATTAAAATCACATTTTATGAGATGATTAAATATTATTTATGTGCAATAACGTTTAGAATATGATGTAAATGATAAGAACGAAATGGGCTTATCAAATTCATCACACTTAAACATTGCTTGCCCTCAAGCAACAAATTGAATAATTACAAGTATAAAGGCAAATTAATAATTGCAAAGGGAAGGTTTAAGCTACATATTATGAAAGAAAGAAGAAATAAGATAGTCATCAACCTTTTTGTTAAGAAGAAATGAACATTTAGATTCTCACCTATATTGTTAGAAATGTAAAAGAATTTTTTGTCAAACCAATATTTTTACACCAACCTAAACAACCAAAATTTTCTAAATTTTCTTTGGGATAACTACATTTGTAAGAGTACTTTACAGATCAAATAATTTTTTAATGGCTAAATTGGAAAACATGTTCTTGCAAAAGTATTAGTCAAAGTATAAGGGTTTAATTTTCTTTGGCATAACTTTGTCATGTTGACACAAGAAAAATTTATAACCACATCCCGTGACATAGAACCACGAGCTTTTTGGATATTCACTCTGGAAAGTCTGATCACACGACATAGAACCGCATGCTTTTTGACTCTAACACTCAAAAGGCCTCATCACGCAATATAGAACCACGTGCTTTTTGGCATACTCACCACGCCTCATCAGTTGACCTAGAACCAACTGCTTTTTGGCTAAAACAAGAATCTCGGTCTCACCAAAGTATGCTTTGAAACATCACCCCTTATACTTTGAAAATAACCCTTTTTAAGAAACAACAAATACTCATAAGAGCATCAGCAAAAAGATTTTCAATAAAGCACTTAAAAATTAATTGATCTAAAAAAACTCTTAATAAATTGTGAATTTATCCCAAATCATTTTAGAAAACATTCCCAAAAGGTTAGAGTAAAAATAAAAGTTTGACAAAAATTTTTAAAAATTTCCAATTTCCACGGGTGATAACTAAAGAGTAATTAATCAAACAAATAAAATTGATGACTATTTTATAAAATCTTTTCCTAACAATATATAGACAAAACAATTCCTAAAAAGATTATTTCAACCACGAACTCTTACCTCCTCACACTTAAACGGAACCACGCCCTTGTAGTGAAAAGTATTTTAGAATTGGAGTTAATGGTTGAAATGCTCACATGCAATTACTAAATTATCTCAATACTTACGGGATTCAACGATGAAGATTGAAATAATAGATAACCATAACATGTAAATATGAAATAATGCATAAAATTTTCTCAAAATGGGTTTAAGAGTCATAATGTGAAATTCCAAAATAAAAATCAATCAAGGATCCAAATCATGTTCAAACTAGTAGAGAAAAAGAGACTTTACTAAGGAAGTCAATATTCTCTCAGTAGCTAATTTCAACCAGGAATGCTGGATCAAGAATAATCAAAGGCTATAGAACCTTTGTGTTTACCCCACGTGCATAACCTCTTCTTCGCTTCCTCTATTAGGTAATCCCTATGGTTCTCCCATCTGCAAAAACAAAGACAACAAACAAAATAAGTAAAATTATTGAATTTATTTAAATATTTTAGTTATTTGAATGGCTGGTTGCCTCCCGTTAAGCGCTTCATTAACGTCCGTAGCTTGACGCTCACCCACTTTTTCCGCGACTTTCCGATCCGAGAGTCATAAAGTTTGGCCCTTCTCTTCTGATGCCACCCTGTTTGAATTTTTGCTCGGTCAAGGTCCAGGATCCTTGACTCATTCCTGCGGCTTGGCGGCAACATGATATATGGAGGAGACTTTGTATAGGTGGGTGGTGGCGGAAGTCTCCTCAGTTGATCCACATCATTAGCCTTGTTTTCGAAATTGATGCCTTCCTTATCTTAAATTGGCTGACTATCCATTTGTGGTTTGATGATTACGACCATGCTTTCCCCCATGGCCCCATGGATGAGTCTTCAGTGTCACTTACCAGAAGTTCATCCCAACTCTTTTGGCTCCAACTATCCTTCGGGCAGACAAAGTCATACCCGTCAAGTAGGGAGTCAAAGAAAGTTTGGTCTAAGTCTTCTGATGAAGCATGATTATCTATAGACGTTATTGGTTCCTCTGTGCTAGGTATTTCTTCGTCTATAGATTCCTCCTTAGAATCTTGAACGTTGGAATCTTGGGGGTAGGTAGTGGGCTCTATCTCCTCCAGAACAGGTTCCTCTGGAGGTGTGTCTTCAACACAATTAAGGAGAAGGTCGTTTATTGCCATAGGCAAAACTTTCTCCTCCTTCTGTTCTTGAATAAGCATAGGTGGTTCTGAGTCAGGTTCCTCAGTTGGTTCCACCTTGTGTACGACTAGACCTGGCAAAACAGAACCGGAACCGATTACCCGAACCGAAATATCCGAAACCGAAACCGGAATGATCCGAAAAATGAAGATCCGATCTATAACCGAAAACCCGAAATGATCCGAACCGAACCGGAACTGAACTAAATAATTCATATCCGATTTAAATCCAAAACCGATTAGATCCGAAACCGATAATATCCGAACCGATTAAACCCGAAACCGATTAGATCCGGACCCGATAATACCCGAAACCGATAAAATCCGAAACCGATTAGATTTGAAATCGATAATATCCGAACTCGATTAGAACTAAAATCGATAAATTCAGAACTATGTTTACCTTTCAATAAGCATATTATATTTTTAAATTTTTACTTTTATTTTACCATTTGAACTAGTTACATTACTTGCTCATTCCCTCATAAAATGGATTATCTTCTTGAAAAAAAGTACAAATTTTTATGCCTTAAATATATTATATGTAGAAATTAAAGATAAGTTATACATATAAATGATAACGCACAAACAAATAAATTTCCGTAATTTTTAAATAGTGAAGTGTGATATTCTTTTTGGGACGAAAGGAATATATATATATATGATGAATTCTATGGAATAATTAGATTTTATCCTAATTTCATCTCATTACAATAAAGTTTATTGATTTGAGAGTTAATTTGATTAGTTTCAAACCAATTCACTCAATATTAGTCAATAAAATTAAATGTTAGTGTAGCATTTTGAAAAGATTCTCTAGCGGCAGCCTTTACTGTTATCATTTTCGAATTTGATCTACTCCATTACATTTAGGTGTAAAATTAATTATATTTGACTCTATTAAATTTAATTTTCTCTATTTTCAACCAAATATACTCAACAATTTACAAATTTTGCACTCAATTGAATATAATTCACTTAATTTCACCCAATTTTACTCAATTTTTATCAAATTCTATTCAAATGGAACATAAGACTATTTGAATTTATCTTTTATCCTTTCATTTATATACATAAGTATATTTCATCTACACTCTTTTAAAAATATAAAGTTTTGATTTAAAATTTTAGTTAAATTAATATAATTTAAATATAGTATTAATTTATATATACAAAAGTATTAAACATCAGGTTGAAACATTTTATACACTAAAAAGTCAAAAGGGGAAAATTAGAAAATAATATATATCCAAAATATATTTGATCCGAAACCGAAATATATCTGAACCGAACTAGACCCTAAACCGAAATATATCCGACTCAAATTGTATCCGAACCGAAATCTATCCGAACCGATTTATAATCGAACCGTATCTGAACCGACTCGAAACCGAACCGAACCAAAAAATTTATAGAACCGAAATCAAATCCGAACCGAAATTTAACCGATCCGAACCGAACCGATTATAACATATAACCGAAAGATATCCGAACCGAAAAAATCCAACCCGAAACCGATCCAGTTGATCCGATTGCCACCTCTATGTACGACTATGCTGGTTGAGACTTGGCTTGGAGGGTATTCGGGTAACATCACCACAGTAGCCCTAGAGAGAGTTTTTATGCTCTCGGATTTCTGTGATGGTGTAAAACTGGGTGAATCTTCTAGAACCGGAACTTGTTGGTTGATGGGTTCAGGGTTGGTCTTAGGTTCTAGAGCCTCTTTTTGAACATTAATCTCCCTCATTTGATCTTGAGATTGGAGGGAGCGTTTAAGTTCAACATCCTTGCAGAGATCATTGACTAATTTATCAGCTTTAGCCTCAGCTTCTAGTCTCTCTCTTTGAAAGTCGTCCAACATTTTCTGCATCATTTCTGATCCTTCGCATAATCTCCGTTCGAACTCCTTTTCCTTCCAGACTGATTCGAGAAGTTTTGCTCGTTCTCGAATTTCCACCTTGTTTGCTTCAATTTGTTCTTCCGCAGACAGGGTGTAGTCACGGCAGTAGGGTGGTTCGTACCAGGAGCCTTCAGCGAATAAAACTTTGTCGAAATAGAAGATTTTCTGTTATAATCTTATTATTTCTTCGACGAGTGGATCATGTTGGTCGTCGTATATAGGCCCATTGAGGTCATAGTCATTGCGATCACCATGAGGTTCATAATAATCTTCCCCATCAGAATCTTGGTATGGAGAATATCCAAAGTTCCTAGACGGGGTGTCATATGGTGGTTCCTTATGGTAGGGATAGTAGTCGGACCCATTTTTGACTTGGTAGTCCTCATCATATGGGTTCTTATGTGGGTGATAAGGTGGATGGGTTTGAAACGGAGGGCGGTTAGGTGATTGGTAGAAAGAAGGCGGATCGTAATAACCACTGGAGTTATCCATAATAATTATTACGGGTGGTTGGTGAAAAGAAGTGAGAAGATCGTTCTAACCAATCTTCACCCAAGCTAATCAGAAGAAATTAAACTAATGCCGTGCCACTCCCCGGCAACGGCGCCATTTGACAGTTGTAGTTTTTCGGGTAGTAAACATTCCCAACAAAGGGTTAGTTTTCTCTCCGAGTGTCGTATCTCTCGAGGAGTGGACGAAGGGAATTAGTTTAATTACTCTAATTAGGCGAAGATTAGGATTAATTTATGAAAGTCTTCTCGAAACGAATAAAAAGGGAGCAAAGTAAAAATAATAAATAAATTTCACATAGTATAAGTATAGATCTGGACCTAGGGTCTGGACATCATTTGGATCTATTTTATCATATTAAATTAACAATTGGAATAATAATATTTCTATTACTACTCATCCATTTCTTGATTTCTACTTAATCCGTTGCACTTGAATATCATAGCAATTTGGGATACAATATTTTCTCAATAAATAGCTAATTAAATCTTTCGAGAATAATTAACTAAATAAGGCAAGAACAATATATTAACCATTCCACCATTAATTTAACATCAAAAAATAAACAACCAAACTAGTCCGGACCCAGAGATCCGAACCCTAACTCATACTATGCAATCATAAATTAAAATAGCATTTTATTAAATAAAGAAAACTTACAACCTCCGTAAAAGCGGAACAGAACAGATCTGGAGTCAAAACCTCCGAAAATACTTCAAACTAACTATTAAAACTAATATACAAGCTAAAATGGAGAAGGGATGTGTAAATCCCGAAGTTGGGATGGAATGGGATGATAAAAATGAGAGAGATCTCGCTGTATTTATAAGAACGGAGCCAAGGCGTCCAAGTCAAAGCGTCCAAGTCCAAGCGTCCAGATCTGGACGCCTGAGCTGTCTCGGCCAATCAGATTTTGCCACGTGTCATTCTTGGGCTGCAATTAAGCAAAAGCGTCCAACTCCCAAGCGTCCAACTTGGCCAAGCGTCCAAGTCGGACGCCTTAGGCCCTTCCTTTGTTGGGCTTCGCGGCTGGTTCGTGATTTCGGCCCAATTTCGCTCCGTTTTGGCCCCGAACATTGTTTTTGACCTCCCGGAAGCTTGTTCAAGCCCGAATCTTGATCCTTTGATGATTTATTCCCTTTTTCTCAAGTATTTCAACATAAAATGGATGATTTATGATAATTTTATGTGGAATCCCTTTTTATGACTCTTAGAACGCAAATGAGAGTTTTATCCATTAAAATCACATTTTATGAGATGATTAAATATTATTTATGCGCAATAACGTTTAGAATATGATGTAAATGATAAGAACGAAATGGACTTATCAATATATGAGGGTTTTCTTTTTGTTTCTCTTGCAGCGTCGACAAAGGCGGAGATCCAGGCAGGTCCGGCGGCCGATCGTTATAGTCCTCTGCAACAATGCCGGAAAGACCGGGGAAACCCAGGAAGGAAGAGGTCGTGACCAGAGAGTACACCATCAATCTCCACAAATGCTTGCATGGATGCACATTCAAGAAGAAGGCTCCCAAGGCCATAAAGGAGATCAAGAAGTTTGCCCAAAAGGCTAAGGGAACAACGGATGTTCGAGTGGATGTGAAGCTCAACAAGTTCATTTGGAGCAAGGGGATCCGAAGTGTGCCGAGGAGGGTTCGTGTCCGCATCGCGAGGAAGAGGAACGACGATGAAGATGCCAAGGAAGAACTTTACTCGCTGGTCACTGTTACTGAGGTTCCCGAGGGACTCAAGGGCTTGGGCACTGCCGTCATTGAGGGGGATGATTGAATCTTTGTTTCAATATATGATAAAGAATTCCAGTTTTGGCTGTTGTCCTCTATCAGCTAGTTTAAGATATTTCATCTGCATTTTCAATTTCAGACACAGCCTATCATGCTATGCTGTTTTTTTACCTTATGAAGACAATTTTGTTACATACACACACACACACACACACACACACACACAC